TAGAGTTAGCTTGAGTTGAATGGAATTTAATAATTAATCTTTAACTAATTAAGAAACAATCTTTCACTAATTAAGTGCCGAGTTTTTAATTCTCTTGCAATCATATTTTTTTACCTTCCAAGTAAAATATTTAAACTGCTTAGAAATGTTGTTATTGGAAACCATTTAATTTCCTACTGACCGGTTACTTCCTTAAATCCCAATATGAATATAAAATGGTATCCATACAACTAAATATTAGATCGAACATTTCTATGGCATCTATATGGAACATAGCAATTCGATCCGGTCACTTAATAGGTCGGAGACGTCTTCTTCTATGCGTTACACATTTCGTGAAAATATTAAGGGAGACAATATTAGAGTGGATACTGAGAAGTGTAATTCAACAGAAAGGAAGACCTTTTATTCAGGTGTGAAATGAATATATAGACGGATAGGGAGTCCGTGTTTAGACAGCATATGATCCTACTCCAGATATGTACAATATATATGAGAAATGCACTATGTGATTCATAGAACAATTCCAATAGCGTCTGTAAGGGTTAAAAGAACGTTACCTAACTAAAGAGGTCTCTTATCAGAAGCAGGGATTTGAGTAGCTTGTTTGTGCATATGCGTCATGCATGTATCTAAGGGGCTTATCAATTTAACAGTAGTACTAAACAACAATTGATTGGGAAAGAAACAACAAAGGTGGTATTATCATCACGACAAGATAGCGATATCGACAGCAAGGTCTTGTAAATAAGCGCCTATGTCAGGCCTTACAGCACGAAACCGGATCTGAATTGTAAAACTTCACAATGCTGGGATGTGATGAAATCGCTTAGAATTGTGATTTATTGACATCATTTGCTCAGCGACCATCGCGTTGAAGAATGGACAGAATCAACGCTTGCTCACCCGCAGCTGACCTGTTGATATGCCATAATATACATACATACATATGTATGTATATTGTCTGGTGCCTCGCATTAAATTCTGTTGTCTGTTTTGAAAAGATTTTTATTGTTGTCCGACAGCGTCCCACTGGCCGGCAATTTAGCGGCATCTTCAGCGCGTGGCTGCTGCTTTAATTTGGCGCTGATGATGTCATTGGTTGTGGGAACTGATTAGGAGATGCCAAGAGCGGGGCATGCGTTAAGTGATACAAGATGGTACCTCAATTAGATGCTAACATAATCAAATTGTGCATCAACTTTAATTCACAAACTTTTTTAAATAGTTCGCCCTTACCAGTTGTTTGCCACAAATCGTGCTATTAATGCGGAATTTTATAAACAGCTCCTTCAAATTCTTGCACGCAAAATTCAAAAGGCTTTTTCTAAGGAAAAATGGATTACTTAAAGGGCACTAATCGATTTTTTAGAACACTTTTTTTTACATGTAGCAGAAACTAGTGTGTTAGTCAACCTACTGTTGTGGCTCCTGCAGCAGGCTGCCTCGTATGGCAAGCTTACTCATCCTGTCCGATTCGTTGGGGTTAGCTGGCAGCACAACCAAAAATTTAACCTCAGCCATTTTTAATATATTTTCTTCGGAACGATTCTAAAATTGGGGCTGTTGCGCACGTTTTATCAATTAGAACTACACAAATTGTAACAGTAAATTGCAAGCTCATTCAACGAAATGTAAACAAAATTTAGCCTATGCTTTGCTTTGATTGGCTTTGCTTGGCTTTGCTTTGCTTTGATTGGCTTTGCTTTGATTGGCTTTGCTTTGCTTTGTTGCTAACGGTTACAACTAAGCCCCGAGCTCTTTACAGTTCGCTGGCACGAGTAATACTGTTCGAATGTAAGCAAGAGGCGGACGTTCTCAGCAAAAAGTTCATGTTAAAGATCGCACTGTGACGTCACGGGCAAAGTACTTTTCGCTGGATACGAAGTGCATATTTGAGCTTTAATTAACGTATAACCTAACTAAGCCGACGCGACACGCGCTGGGTTGCTTCATCCACGTCGAGTGAGTCAATACTAAACAAGAATTTTTCGGCTGGCCCACATAGCAGACACGAAAATGTATGCGAGCCGACTGCTGCACACTCTTGCATAAATATTATCTTATCTTAATTATAAATTCATATCACAAAACATAAGATAGCCGCAAAATTCAATTTTTATTTAGAGTTATTCGTTGTTATGCTTATAGAAAAAGATTATTTTAGTACATATTCCAAAAGGACAACTTTAGTACATATTCCGACTTAAAATGTAGCGTGTTGTTCACCTCAATAACGAGCTGAAATACGTGCCAAAAATAAAAATATGGAATGCGTACTCAATTTTGAGTAAACAGCTGTTTCTGCAAGCTGAACGCTTTTTAAATATATTTTCGATCTTACTCTAACAAAACGATCCCTGAGTTTTGCGTGTTTTTCGATCAATAATGGGTTTGCTATAGTCTATTCTTAGGCAGCACAGGAATTCAAGTATAGATACACACATTATCAGCCAAGTGTAATTTTTAGTTTTAGGTAAAGATCAAGGATTCAATGAAATCTTTTTAGGAAAGAATCACAGTTCTGAGTATTTTTGAAATCGTCATTAGATATATATTGTCTTAATATTTTAAGTTTTCCTGTGCTTTTTAACTTTAGCTACGCGTACGAAACATTAAGAATTTGAATTTAGAAGCTAATTATTGACTTATCACACTATCTAAAGATTTCTTATGAAGTAATAACACACACGATGAATTAGATAATGCTCTAGATGCTTAGGATATATTACTTTCATATGAGCAATACACATACATATTTGCATTAATTTATTATCGTTGTTTTCCGAGAAATTTGGACGTTAATTCGATTTAGATAACCTCGGCCTCCATTTCGCAGCCTTTCAGAGCAGCTAAGATATTTCTGGCCGTAATGCGAGACATCTCCTTGCGAGTCTCAATGTCCGCGCTGCCTATATGAGGCAGCACCACAATATTATCCAGCTTCAGTAGTGGACTGTCTAGGGGCAACGGCTCCGGTGTGGTTACATCTAAACCTGCCGCCAGGATCCGCTTCGAATGGAGTGCTTCATAAAGAGCATTTTGATCCACAACTCCACCACGCGAGGTATTGATAAAAATGCAATTGGCTTTCATTTTCTCAAATGCTGCAGCATTAAATATCTCTTTTGTTTCAGGGGTTAGGGCGCAGCAGATTACAATAAAGTCCGATAAGCAGAGCATTTCATCAAAGTCCACACGCAGAGCATTAACCTTTGCAGCTTCTTTCGGCCTGGGCGTCCGGGTCGTGTAAGTTATCTGAGCTGGCTTGAAAGGCAGAATGCGTGATGCAATCTCCTGCCCAATGCGACCGAACCCATACAGGCCAACGCGTGAGTTCTTTAGGCCCTGTCCACACATCCACATGGGCGCCCAAGATTTCCAGCCGCCATTGTAAACTTGTTTGTTTGCCTCAAAAAGGCGCCGGTTCGTGGCAAGCAGCAAGGCCAGCGTCAACTCGGCGGTGGCATCGGTCAGCACATCGGGTGTGTAGCCAACACGAATGCCCCGTTTCTTGCACTCCTGCACATCGATGTGCTCAAAACCAACCGACATGGTAGACACGCATTTGAGTTTCTCCCCAGCAGCATCCAGCACAGCAGCATCAATTTTATCTGTGAGAACACAATAGAGCGCATCCTTACCCTGGACTTGACGCAGCAATTCGTCCCGTGGCACCGGCAAAGGCTGCGACCAAGTGGTCACATTGCAACTAAGATTAAGAAAGAAAATATAAGCTAAAACGGTTTAAGGGCTGTGAAAACAAACAACCTCTTACGCAGCAAATCCAGTCCACTGGCGTCGACATCTGGACGAGTTACATAAACACTTTGCAGGGAACTCATTGCGGATTTGTGTAAGAATTGGGCAAGTCTTTTGGCTTGCTGTGTAAGTCGAGGTTGAATTTTATACATGTTAATATAGTTTTACCTCGCAAACAAGCGAGAATGTTATGTTAGCCTAACATTTCGGGCACATTTCAACTGCGAACTTTGGTCACATTGGTTTTGTTAGCAGTTTCTACTGAGCTTAACAGATCATTACTAGAACTAAAAAGAGCTTAAAATTATTATTAAATTAATAATTTTTACTTATTATTTAGTAATGGATTGGTACGTTGGCACCGAATGGAATGACACAGCGCGCGGGCTACATAAGAAGGTCTTGAGCCTTGAGTTTCAGAAAATCGAGAAGCCATTTACTGTCAGCACCGTCTTGTTCAGCGTAAACAAACCATGCATGAGCTTGGGGCCCAGACCAAGTAAATACTTGGGCTCCAGTGAGATACAGGAATACACGTTAGAGATGGGCACTGCTGTAACTTCAATTGATTGCTATTTGGAGCTGTTGTTGCAGCAATTCATGCCTGGCGAAACCTCGGCGTGCAGCATTGCAACTAAAACTGGCGAACGCTTGGAATTCGAGCTGAGGCTGGAGCGCATCATTAGCAATAAACAAGTGGAGAAGCTGAGCGCAGCGGAAATCTATAACCTGGCACTAAGCTACAAGGAGAATGGCGTAGCTATGTTTAAGGAACATCCAAAGTTTGCTTGCGACTATTTCTCTCGTGCAGCTAAATTGCTGATTACATACAAACCCTTCGATAAGCTAGACAAAAAGACAAATGGGATCGATGGCAGCCAGTTGCAGATATTGTTTGTGCAGATACAAACAAATTTAGCCGCATGCTTTCTGCTGGAAAAGCGTTACGAGCATGTCATATATCAAACACAATTTGTCGAAGAACAGGAGGAGCCCAGCGAGAAGAGCATCTATCGGCGCGCATTGGCCTACTATTACCTGAAGGAGTTCGAAAAGGCTCAGCAGTTGATTGAGCGTGTCCCCAACTACGAGGATAAACGTGAATTTAGTAAATTGCGCGACAACATTGCGGCTAGCTGGAAAAATAGCAATGCCAACTACAAGCAAGTGGTGCAGCGCATGTTTAGCTAGATATAATCCGTGCTACTCAAATGTTATTATATAAAAAACGAGTACTATTTAATAAAACCTAATATTTAGTTTTTATTGCGCTACTTTTCTTTAAACTTCTTTGAGGTTTTATTGTCCATTTTGGCTTTCTTGTTTTTGTACTTCATGCCGGATGGCAGCTTAGGTCGCTTACGTGACGAATTGTTGTCAGGTTTAAATAGTTCTGTAAAAATGGATTATCGTCAATACCACATGTGGACCAGAATATAATGACGCTCACCTTCGTCTGGCTCCTCGCCAACTTCATCCTTGTAATATTGAGCATCATCGTCGGCATCACTTGCATTTTCCGCGTCGTGATTTCGTTTTGCTTCTTTATTTTGCTCTTTTTTCAATTTCAAATTTCGTTCACGATTCTCGCTCTGTTGCTTCTTGCGCTGTTCTTTAAGTTTGCGCTTCTTTTCAATCAATTTACGCAGTGTTTCCTTCTCATCTTCTGTTTTGATGACATGATCGTGATAGAGCACTTCACCGGTTAGCAGACCCTCCTCGATCTTCATGAGCTGCATTGTTAGACGAGGTCCAATTTCATGTAGCTTTACCGAACTTCGGTGGTTCTCCAAGTTGCCCTTGCTCTTCAGTGTTTGCGACAGCACCACATGCGATTGCTCGTCTTCATCTAGCTCCGCTTCCGAAACATTTCCATCCCTAAAATTGTACATGATGATGATGACTTTGATCGATATTTTAGGCAATATTACTTACCTGGTAACAAAATCGACTACCTCATCGCATTTGTTCAGATTTGGCACAGTGCCGCTGACTATTTTCTGTACGGCGCGCTTCAGACCCACCGGCACCACCTGCACCGAATAATGGCGCATTTCCACTAGCTTTGCTTCTGGATTGTACGAGAAAAGAACGCAGCGGCGTATGGTATCAATGTTGACCTGAGCCAAATTGATCGATGGAAACATGTTCTGAAATGTTGTGGCCATCAATTTCAAATGTTTACCCTCGCCGCTAAAATTGTTCATGATGACGAGCGGCGGATGCTTGAAATGATCAACATCAAACATTTGCTTTTTACTACACGAGATGACGTCACGAGCGAGCGTAAACTGATGCACCTAATAAGTAACAGAGCGTATTAACAATGCTGTCCATGGATGAAGCGAATACCACAAACACAAACCTTGAACGTAAGTGACGGGCCACGCGGCAAGCGCAGCACTTTGAAGGACAGCTGTGTAGAGGCTTTGTTAAAGATGCCCATATGCGAGACATGAAAGAAACTGCTTAAACTAACAAAATCTTTGATGCGATTGATTTTCTTTTCGCGCAAATTGGTAGCCGTAAAAGGCTCCATTATGCGACGAAAATCCATTGTCAGATCTGTGATATACGGACATGACAGACCGCGATGTATAATGAAAGAGTGTGGTGCCTCAACAATTTCGCTTGGTTCGCTCGCTTTGAACGCTGCTGTGCGTGTTTTTGGGTGAACCTTCTTTTTAGCACCACCCATCTTTTCTCGTTCTGTTTAACAATTTAAAAAAAAAAAGAACTTGACCGCACGTGTCAGCCAGATTCTACAACATTCGCCTAACGCACTGACAAGCGTATCGATATATCGATAAGTTTATTCAATCAATTTAGAGTGTGACCAGACGCTTACGCGCAATCATTTTAAAACTGCCAGCTGAATTTAAATCCAACTATTGATGCACAGTTTGAAATTAGTTTATTTAAATTTTATTCATTGAATCACATATAACAGAGGAAACATAAAAATAATACCACGACTGCATGAATCGGGATAGCATTTACACGACCTTCGATGAATCGAAATTCATCGATAGATGAAGAAATTTAAAATGGTATTTTAAGTATTTCCCACACGCCTTGGCGCGAGAACTTTAAACAAATGCCCAGTGAATTTAATATCAAGTATTTATGCACAGTAAGTATAGGCTTGTTTTATTTAAATTATATTTATTTAATCACCCACAACATAGTTAACACAAATGATGATTTTTGCTTTCTATGTTGCCGTTTCTGCATTTAAAGTTTTACAACTGTTTTTATCAGCTAGTGTTTGAAGAATTCATGTGGTCAATGATAAAATTTAAATTTCAATAGATGTAAACATTTCACATGCACATGCTAGAACTATTTGAAATTTAATGATTTAAGTTTCACTTTTATTTCATACGTAAAAAAAGGTATTACATTAACCAATAAAAAAAAGAGTGCAACGACAAGAGCAGCTCCGACGCTGACAAATCGGATGAGGTTAGGGGAATTTTGGGAATATAATAATAGACGATAATTAAACAGAGCCAGGTCGAAATTGTCTTCATAATATGCTTGTTAAATATGCCTAATTTTGCAGGAAAACAATGCGGTGCTTAATAGAACATACTTAGCAATGTTTTAGTGGTTTTTGTTTGTTTGTTTGTTTTTTCTTTGAAAATTACAACTATATATTTATGTTGCGAAAAGTATTAATATTAATATTTTTAATATTAGCATTTATGTATATTTATATAAATTATAGTTACAGCTACAGCTTAAACTGAATTTGGAGTGTTTTAGTGTTTCGCTTTTTCTTTCCTATTTTTTTCTTCAGATGTCGAAGAGCCATTGAAGCTTTCTGCAATATATTATTCATATGTTTATATATAAAACTTCAGTTTAAACTGCAGTTAACTACAGCCGGATGTTGATGTTGCGGTTGGTGTTATTATTATTATTTTTATGCATATATGACAAACTGCTTGTGGCTGTGGTTTAAAAAATAACATCTTATGCCGTTGTTGTAGTTGTAATTGTTGTTGCTCTTGCTATTGCTGTTCTGGCTGTTGCTGCGGGGGGCTGCTGCTGCCGCGGCGAATCCTTGGGGCGGTCACTGACAGCACTGCTTACGAACATCAGCTGTGACAGTCGGCTTTACGTCGATGGGCTCCACATTCGAGGGGCGAATCACATCGCCTTCAGGCGGGTCTCTAATTTGTTTCTGCGACACAATGCGATAGATCTCTATAAGAGTTATTTGAATTAGCATTCGTTTCGTTATTAAACTACTTGAGCATTTATCACCTGTGAGTATATTTTGGAATGCGGTTTCAACGTTTGTCGAGTCCAGAGCCGATGTTTCTATGAAACTTAAACCGTTGCGCTCCGCAAACAGTTTCGCCTCATCCGTCGGGACCGAGCGCAAGTGCCGCAAATCGGACTTATTGCCCACCAGCATAATTACAATATTCTGATCGGCATGGTCGCGCAGCTCCCGGAGCCATCGCTCTACGTTCTCGTACGTCAAATGCTTGGCAATGTCGTAGACAAGCAGCGCCCCAACAGCACCGCGATAATATGCAGAGGTGATGGCTCTATAACGCTCCTGGCCGGCCGTATCCCAAATTTGCGCCTTAATTGTTTTTCCGTCGACCTGGCGAGGCAGTAAATGGACGACAAATTTATTTAATTTCAGCTGATAATATAGTGAAACAAAAACCTAAAAAGTAAGTCTATTTTCGGTACGCCGAAGATTTACAACTCTTTTTTAAAATATATGAGAATAAAAAAAATTTTAAGCGCCCAGTCTTAAGCAAAATATTCGGACATATCAGAAGCTGCTTTTCGATTGAACTCTCCTATGGAAGCTATATTATATATTGGTCTGATGCTGAAAAGATTTTTCATATATATGAGTTATCTAAATAAAAAAAAAGAACCTACTTTTCAACCGATGTTCCGTTCCTATGGCAGCTATATGATAAAGTAGTCCGATGTTTATAACATTTGCTATAACTGATACGATAACAACGGCAGCTTTAAAACTGAGAGACAAGTTTGCACAGAAACAGTCGGACAGACGGACATGACTATATCAAATCGGCTGTTGATGCTGATCTCGAATATGTATACTTATCGGGTCGGACATGGCTCCTTCTATGCGTTACTCATTTTATGAGAAAATTATAATAACCTATACACGGAAATTAAAAAATTAATTAACTAAATTAATAATTGTAATAAAGTAATTATTTTGGTATGTAGTTTAAAACTATTATGTCTAAATTTTAATGTATTCAAGTAATATTGCTAATTTAGCTTAAATATTCTATCTTTTTCATAGATCGGGTTTTTAACAACTATTTTCGGTTTATATCCTTTTCCTGGCCAGATTATCAATATACGCAGTTTCGAGGCCTTTCAGAAAGCAACAAGGAATTTTACTGAAAGCCTCCGCTATCCACTTGGTGGTGGGCTCCCATGGTACTCACCTCTATGCTGCGCGTTGCAAACTCCACTCCAATTGTGGACTTGGACTCCAAATTGAATTCATTGCGCGTGAAACGTGACAGCAAATTACTTTTACCGACGCCAGAGTCACCGATAAGCACAACTGCAAAATGTATGGTTTACAAAAATATTAGCAAACAGTACAAAATAGTTGACTTCTGTCTACTAATTGCATAATTCAAGACTGCTCGACAGGTTGGTTGGTCGGGGGAGGCACGGGTCATGTCCTCGCACTCAGTTATCGGCAAAATGTGGCGCGTGCCTGAAGGTCAGCAGGCGCAATATATTTCTACACTTTCGGGGGATTTCAGTGATGGCCATTAAACCATGCATTTTATGGAGCCATTCCCTCCCGCCGTTGTCTGCGCGCCAAGCACAACGTAAACGTTTGTGTGCGACTTAAAGGTGTCTTTTAAACAATAAATATACAGATATTTATTTGCATACAAATACGGTAAAAGCTCTGCCAACGGACAGTTTCCTTGAATGTTCCCTAAACATTTTTATTTTCTTTCTATATAAACATATATATTTGTACATATACGCATATTAAAAAAACATATATGCAAAAATAAAAACTCGATTGTTTTAATTTTTCTTCTTCTGTTTCTGAGATTATTTACATGTTGATAATATGTATATTCGGCGTGCCAGTTACCTCTTATTGTCACGTCTACTAGTTCTACTTTTGACACCTTTCCGTGTTTTGTTTATCTGGTATGCGACAATATTTGCGCTACTCTCTCTCTCTCTCTCTCTCCCGCTCTCACTCTCAAATATGACCGCCATAAGTGCGGAGTTATCAGCATTGCCTTTGATTGCTTCACAGCTGCTCACGAGTAACGGTGATTCATTAGGTAACTTCTCTCTAACGATCTTCTTTTGCTCTAATACAAATTACATACATATGTTCCAAGCATGTTAATGTTGCTCTCATCATTATTCATATATGCATATATGTATTTATGTATTTAGTAATTATAACTATGAATTGTGCAATTTAGATTTTGGTCATTGGCATTGGCCAGCGATTATGCGTTTATCGTTTTTTTCTTCTTTTGTTTTTAATTGTTATGACTCACACTTCAAGCATGTCAAATAACTTTTTGATTTTGTGCCTGTACAATAGTCAAATTAATGCTGCATATCATCACACAAAAAAATGCTTACGCTTAATGCAATTGCTCGCCCCTTGAGATTTTTGTCTTTGACACAATTTAAACGGAGCGGGACTCCAAAATATCAAGAGGAATTGCTAAAGCGTAGTAATGTATACGGAGAACTCTCGCATGCACACATGAGTAAGAGAAAATTGTGAATTGGTGACCCCAGAATAAGCTCACACACAGACAATTACTTGAAGTTGACAAACAAAGAAATTACATATGTTAGGCTGGAAATAGAGCTAGAGAGAGATGTGGAAAGTTTGTGCCGGTTCATGAATTGATTGCCCGCATTCGGTACAAATGTATTCTAGGGTTGAAAAATTAGCTATTTAACTGAATTTTGTCTGAAGAAAATCAAAATGGTCACACTGTGCAAGCGATAAACACGGGCTTAAACATCCGCTGAGCGTCTACGCAGCGTAATGTAAAGTTACTACAACAATAACTTGAACTGGCGATTGAGAGTGTGGGCAGAGAGGGAGAGAGAGAGAGAGAGCGACAACAACAAAAGCAGCTCACAGCAGATGTGAGCGAAATAAACATATGCAAAAGAAATTGCGAAAATTCAATACAAAAGCCAATGGCAAGAAAATATAATACACGCTGCTCTTTAAAAATACAAATGTACATACCTATAGATACGTAAATACATACTTTCTCGGGTATTAATATACTGAAAATCTAATCAACGTAATAACAATTACTATGTGCCTTTTATCACGATTATTATTACGATTTATGCAACGTGTCATGCTGGCTGCTGGCAGCAGAAGCGAAGAACGAACGGCAATGGAAACACAATGACAAACTGACAGCAGTTAACGGCAAAGTAGTTACGGGTGTGTTTGGAGCAAAGAAGGGGGCGGAGGGACCTCTTGTCAGCGAGCAAAGAGAGCACGAGAAAGCAAAGGGCATATAAATCCAACACAATTTCAAGCTTGTACAGAATGCAATAAAACAACGCCAGGGGGCGTATTTTGTGATATTGCTTTGAAAATTTCACCAAATATTGTGATCGGAGACCATTTAAAAACAAATTTATACGCATATATACGTATGACAAGCATGTCTGCATTTGTTATGCCAATTAGTTTCAATTAGTGCCATTGAACGGATAAGCGCAAGTCAAGCTTTGCTCCTGTTTCAAATTCCCACGTCCCACAACCAGTCCAACCAGTCGCCGGCTAGCTGATAATTAATTGCAAGGGCTTTAGCTGCACACAAAATTGCTGCACCTAAAATTTACGTTCATAATTTACCTTTGAAAAGATAATCGTATTCGTCTTCCCTTGCACCCATTTTGTTGTGTTTTTAAATATTTTGGTCCTCCTACTCCAACCGATTGGGATGCCTGTGTGTCTGTGTTAGGTAAAATCCAATAATCCTTGCGCGCCGCCGTTCTTAATACGTTTTTCTTTTCTTTTTTTTTCGTGTATTATGCTCTCACACTTTGTACACTTTTATTTGTAGTTGTAATCGGGACAATATAAAGAAAAGAAAAATTATATCAATTCGATTGCAAATGGGCGTTGTTTGATAGTAATTTTTGGTTCCACCCAAGGCAACCTTTGTGCGGCAGTTAGTCTAATAACAGTTTGCGACTTTCTGTGGCTTTTTAATGTATTTATTTATAATTTTCTTACTCGCGACACACACTCACTTAGACTTAGTCACTCCCAATATATTCAACGACGTGAAGTAGGCTGCGGCATGTATGGCAATACAACTGACAGCTACAAGTACTCGATACCCATAACTCTAGTTGGAACGCCATGTTGATGACGTCAGTGTTGTCCATAATCGTTACAATTTAAAAGTAAAACTGATACATATAAGACTTGGAAAAAAACAATTTCTTTACAAAATACACATGTTTTATATTTTTGTTTAAACATTTAAAGCATAGGCGGTAGAAAAACAGTATATTAAGTATATAGTGCAAGTAATACTAGCGGTTACTGATTGTTCTGTAGAAAAAATATATAAAACTTTGTTCTTATTGTACTAAAAGCACTTTGACACACGTTCATATACGCGCACGTTGCAAAGCTAATGCTGGATAGAAAAGCAGGAGTCCACCAGCAATGTATGTGATTTTCGAGCCCAAGCACCAAAACGCTAAAAACAAATATGGCTATAACAGGAATTGAAATCGAATGCTTTATAAGACTCACCTATAGATCCTACAACTGGACCCAGAGCACGTGCCAAAGCACCCAACGAACGGAATATACCTAATACTGAACCCTTTTGATCATCGTTGCCGTACTTGGACACCAAAGTGGTCAGACAGGTAACGGCAAAAGCGGTGGAGATTGCAAATAATATCATGCCCGCATAGAGCATACGGCTAGTCTCCGCCAGGCCAACTAAGACAAATGCTGGCACGATTAAATATAGACTGAATATGGCATAACTTTTGATCTTCGCTTCCGGTAGACGACGCACCACGGAACCCTGCAGCAGGGTCATGACGAGGCCCGTAGTCAAAAACATTTTGGCCTGATCCATTGAACTGTAACCAAACTTATGATACATCAGAAAGGTAACTGTGAATTCCAAGCCCGAATATAGGAAAAGATAAAGAAAATAAATTAGTCCAATGGTTCGTAGCGCCTGTGTATCCTTTCTAGGCACATTTTTGATGGCGGCAAATCTGTAAAAATGAAATTAACAATCAATTAAAAAGTCAAATATTTTTTGACTGGAAATAAACAGCAAAATCAAAAATATGAAAGCTATCAAACATACATTTATTTGTTATATGTTCGACAAACATTCACTCCAGCTCAAAATTCGGGAACTTAAAAGACAAATTTGGTTACCCAGGCAGAATATTGCATACGCTTGTTGGCAAATATTATTTAGAGCGTTGGGAATCGTAATAAAATCAAGATTAAGCGTAAAGCGGTCAAGTGATTGTTTAATCATACAAATATTTTCAATTAGGCGAAACCAACGATTGATAAGGCAAATCAAATAAGCCCCAGCTAAAACGTGCCCAACTGCGCGGCAAGATATCGACGAGGGCGGCAACAGCTAGAAAACCTGTTGGCCGGCTTTTGATTCGATGGGGTAAAGCAAAAAAGAATTTAAAAAAAGTCACACGCCTTGCTTGACAGAGCGTATCTATTAAATCAAAAATAATAAAAAAACGAGAAAGAAAGGCTATCTTTGGCACGCCGAAGATCTAATACCCTTGCGAACCCAACCATTTCAGAATGCTCATAGTGCTTTGCGCGTATCTGAGAAGCACAGGGAAAATAGTTAATGCCGAGTTTGGTCAAGATATCTTGATAAACAAAAAAGGTTTTTAATCAAAAAGCTAGTTTTCGACCGATCGTTCCTATGGCAGCTATATGATATAGTGGTCCGATGTAAATAAGATTTTGCAAAAATGAAGAGCGAGCATAGTGAAATCTGTAAATGCCGTGTTCAATCAAAATATCTTAAATGTCAAAAAGTTTTCCATACAGCAACTTAATTTTCGACCGATCGTTCCTATGGCAGCTATATGATATAGTGTCCGATCCAGCTGGTTTTGACAAACGTCAAATGCGTGCAACAGAAAGAGGGACATCAGCAAAGTTTCATAAAGATAGCTTTAAAACTGAGAGACTAGTTCGCATAGAAACAGACAGACGGACATGGCTATATCGACTCGGCTGATCAACAATATATATACTTTATGGGGTCGGAGAGGTCTGCTATGCGTTACACATTTCACGACTAAATTATAATACCCTCTGCAAGGGTATAAAAAAACGTACCCAAATATAGAAGAGACGTTGAGCAATTGCAGGCCGTATGACAGAGCAGACGAAATTTCACGAGCGCGTTTGGCCTGCAAGGGAAAAAATCACTGAAATTACACAGAATTTGAATTTTCCAAATGTCCTAGGACGCACCTGAGGTAAAGTTTCGCGCAAACAAAACGCCAGGAGAAGCACATCGCCCAGCGCCAAGCCCAGTGCCAGCAAAGAGGGCAGCACAAACCAGGCGCCTCCACTGGCACTTTTATCCGAAAATATGGCAAACATGGCGCCAATCATGGGACCCACAATAAAGCCCAGCGAGAAGGCCACACCGACCAGCGCCATGCCGCGTCCGCGTGTCCGTACGCTGGACACATCCGTGATGACGCTCATACAGAGCGAAATGTTGCCCTTGCTGATGCCGCCCACGACGCGTGCCAGCACAAATAGGGCAAAATTGCTGGAGCATGCCCAGATAAGATAGGATAGCGCGATGCCAAGCTGCAGTTGAAGGGTTTAATGATTGAAAGTTGCGTCTTTTAAGTTCAACGGACCAACTTACAGCGCAAATCAACAAAACGGGCCTGCGTCCATAGTAGTCTGAGAGGCTTCCCACAATGGGACTGGCCAGGAATTGTAGAAAACTAAACATAGATCCCAGAAAGCCGCCAAATAGCACCGATAGATACCGATCCGGTGCACCCAGAAGCTGCTGGAACCAACGCACGCGCGTCGTAAGCCAGGCATACAGGCCGGAACTATCATTAATGCGATAATATTCCAAGAGCGACGGCAGCAAAGGCAAAATGATGGTAAACGCAAGCAAATCGAACAGCAGTGATACAAATATAATATATATCATGGGATCACTTTTCTCCTTGGGCGCAGCAGGTTTCCCATTGTTGTTATCGTTGCTGCTGTTGCCCAACTGCTGTTCCGTTTCTGGTATTCTTGTATTCTCCCGATTCCGTAAAGTAGTCATGTTGTTGTTGTTTTTGTTGTAGGCGCCCAATTGCGTGCGTGTACATATATTTGTTGTCTTATTGCGGGAGCTGATGACACGACGACGACCGCATAACTGTTTGTGCGCCCAACAACTTGGCCCAAACAAAAAGCGGTACTCCAAGTAGCCGCTAAGAAGCAGCCGAAGTGAAAGTTGAATATTAGGATCAAGCAACGTTCAGACTGTATGATGAGCATTCGAATTTGTGTATAAGTTTGTGATTTTGCTCATAACAGCATTACACCACAAATGCTTACATAGTTCAATAAATACATAATGTAGGCTGTGGCACAACAATTTTTTGTCGTCCCTCAAGTCTGCAGTAGAACTGCTTAGAACTGACCCCTAAATAACATCAACAGGTTGTTTTCGTATCGTTCCGTGTGTGTGCCCTTGCGAAGCTTGTTACGAGTACTATCGACTAGTTTTGGCCCGTGCTGCAAAACGTTCACACACAGCTGTGCTAAACGCGTTGATCAACACGCAAACAACCGCAAATGACAAAAACCAGACTAAACATTGAAAAAGTAAAATAAATAAACTCAAAATAAGTGCAAATCATGTCTAAAGTCACGGTGCAGGATATAGAGGCCGTGGATGATTATTGGGGTCCCACATTCCGCTCAATACTCGAGGGTAACTTTTGTTTTTATAGTCGTGCACTTCATCATTCATTCATTCTATTGACGCCCACCTTACCCGCAGGCAACAATAGCAAATTAATCAGCGAACAGCTGGACCAACGCGTACGCAGCCACGACAAAGAGATCGAACGCATATGCAATCTGTATTATCAGGGCTTTATTGACTCCATACAGGAACTTCTGCAGGTCCGAACGCAGGCCAAGCAGCTGCACGATGAAGTCCACTCGCTGGACACATCGCTGCGCACTATTAGCGCCTCCCTCATTCAGCAGGGCAATGAGCTGGTACGTGCCCGTCAAATCGAATCGAATGTAGCCAGCGCCATTGAGGCGCTTAAATCCTGTCTGCCCGCCTTGGAGTGCTATATGAAATTCACGCAGCAGGCGAAAAACAAACAATACTATCAGGCACTGCGCACGCTGGAGACTCTTGAGACGGAGCACTTGTCGCGACTGCAGCGGCACAACTATCGATTTGCAACACAAATGCAAACACAGATACCCATCATAAAGGAGAACATACGCCGCTCAGCAGCAGCCGATTTTCGTGAGTTTTTGGAGAACATACGTAAATTTTCTCCTCGGATTGGTGAACTGGCCATTACGCACACCAAACAGTTGCAGAAACGCGACATCAATGCCATTATACAGGAACACAAACAACAGGCCAATAGCGGCATCGACGGTGGCGGCGACGATGATGGAGGCAATGTAAGCGCACAGGATTTAATCGATTTTTCACCCATTTATCGCTGCCTCCACATCTACATGGTGCTGGGCCAACGGGAGTATTTTGAGAAGGACTATCGCCAGCAGCGGCGTGATCAGTCTAAGCTGGTGCTGCAGCCACCGCCAAATATGCACGATAATTTGGAAGCCTATAAGACATACATATGCGCAATTGTGGGATTTTTTGTGGTTGAGGATCATGTGAAAAACACCGCAGGTGAAGTGGTCACGAACAGCTACCTTGAAGAGCTGTGGTCTACTTCGCTAACCAAGTTTGTCAATGAGATCAGCATGAGCTCCTCCTCCTGCACCGACCCAAATATCCTATTGCGCATCAAGAACCTCATTATGCTGTCCATCAACACCTTTAAGTGCTATGGCTACACTGTGCAAATTCTGTGGGAACTGCTGCACGATATGCGTGATCATTACAATGAGGTAAGTCCAGAAGATGTCTCCTATGGCTACTGATGTCTCCTATGGCTACTTGAATTATCTTTTTACAGGTC